TATTTATTTGGTTAGTCACCAGGAGCCTGTTATTTTCGTACCGGTCCCGAAGGGCATTCCAGGCAGCCTCGAAGCCGTCATTTGTGAGTGGGGACTTTTCCACTATGGCCTTCGGATCACCTCTGGTCTTAGTGGTGAGGTGGTACAGCTTTTCCACGGGAGACAGCCTGGGATTCTGTATGTAGATCGCAGTAAACAGGTCTCGGAACGTAGGCCAGCTGACGTAATCCCCAGCGAAAACTTCGATGTCGCATGGGGGAAGTCTGCAGCCGCCGTGGAAATCTGGCTGTGCGGCGGGACGGACTGCTGGTTGTTGGAGCTGATCAGTGAGATCAGCAACGCACTGTTCGTACACCGTAAAACAGTCATTGAACTTCGATTGAAGGTCCGCTTCAGCCTGCGCACCGTCTTCAGCCACAACCACGAAACAATTTTTGTGCTTCGGATTTGGTCACGGCGTACCGTGGCAAGCGAGGCAGATGGAGTGCGAGGATTCGGAAGGTTTATTCGCTCTCCGAAATGCATAAGTTTGCGTGAGGCTGCTCCAAATTTAGCCATTGCTGTAGTGGCAGCGGAGTGAGCCATTGTGTGGGAGGGTTGAGAATGGCTTGGACTGGCAGTACGCGCTGGCACCTTAAGCGTGACCCGCGACGGGAATAGGACCGATCTGGTCTTCGCACCCGCGGAGCTTGTGGTGGGCCCGGGAGTACTGGATGACTTAACTTTGCGTGTCACCGAGGTGGGTGTTTCTGGGGCGGACGAGCTGCGTGGTCTTCTGACACTTGGAGAGGTCACGGACAAAAGTTTTTTGCTCTCTTCACGCCCTGTTGGCATATTCGGAAATCACACGAAGAAAGGAGAACAAAGGAAGTGTGGGGCGAATGGCCACAACCTTGGTTGTATACGGAGATTAGGATGAAAATTGAGGATGAACAATAATATTGAGGCGCGAGGTATCAATATATAGAGTCGGTTGCAAACGGCCGTCTAAAACAATATACCCTCGAAATGCAGGGTAGCGCGTAACTTGACGCTCCGTTACGGTCAAGCGCGGCACCGAAAAATATTCTCCCACCAACAACAACGCAAGCAAAACGGTGGAGAAGCGAAAACGAAAGGAAAGACGAAAAGAATGCACCGCTGCTGTTGCTTGTATGTGTGTGTGTGTATGGATGTAAGTGCTAGGTACGGTGCCTTGAGTTAACGCAATTGAGCAACGGGTAACCGTTTTAAATACAAGATGTGTGTATGTATATAGATATGCAAGAATATGCTACTTTAAAAGGAATGCGTACTTATGTATGTATATGTAAATAAATATGCGCTGGGCGTATGAAATCGTGTATTAGGTTATGGACAATATAATTAGTTAAGAAAGGGGCGACGTAGTGACCCGTGTTAGTTTATATATGTATGTAATTATAAAACCAAAAAACTGTGCAGAATATGTATGTGCATATGTATGTCCGTTTGTCAGCCGCGAAAACTCAGCTGGTAGCTGGGAGAGGAAGGCAGATGAGTTACCGACAGATATGCATACATATGTGTATGAATGTAAGCGCTGGATCGGAGGCGGATTAAATTGGTCCCGCTGCAGGTGAATGCTTTTTACTTCACTGTGGCACAACTGATTGCACAGACAACGGAACTATAAGCACGACCGTTGTATTGGGTATGTAGATGTGGGTACGAGCACTCGAAGAAGCGGAGAGCGCCCGGAATTGCCAAGAATATGGCGCCGTCGATAGAACGGTGAAAGGAAAGACGCGGCACGTATATATATGTATATATGTCCAGCCGAATGGGACCAGGTGAGGAGCCACTGGAGATGGGCAGATGGGGAATCCGTACTTATCTTGGAGGTTGGGAATTGTCCGCCGGTGCTTGCTGGTGTGGACTTCTCCTTTTGTTTAGGCGAAGATCCGGCTCGAAGGACCAATGTTTGTAGGGGGGCGGACGAAGCTCAAGTCTCCAATGACGATATGGATGATGAAGTGAAACCTCCTGTAGCCGTCGCAAGAAAAGAAAATGCCGTGGTGCTTTGTGGTAAATGTGTAGTATTTATTTCGGGGGTCACGCGGTAGATCGTGCGTTTGAAACGGGGGTTGAAACGTCACTAAACTAGGCCTTACGATCTATGGTCCATGATGGCTTGAGCGCCGGGTGGATAGTGGGTCGTAAAATCTCCCGAGCGCCCCTCCGAGCGCGCGAGAGTGAGTTGGGACCGGAGCGCACGAAGTTGGCACAGTGCACGGCACTCATCTGCTGCTGGCCTGAACACCAAGTATTTGTCATACTTAAAAAAAAATAAATCCAGGCTCTATAAAAAGTACCAAAAGTCGGGCTCCACGTTGGCCTTAGCTCTATACTCCTCCGCTCGCTCTCTGTTCCTTGCCATTAATAGTCAGTGCTATAATCATTACCTTTCACAATATAGTACAAACTTTTGTAGTGCTCCTGAAAAATTATATTCGTTCGTTAACTCTAAGCGTAAGTCAAACGCTTTTCCTCCGTCCCTTCATTACCAGAACAAAACAGAAGCTTCTGCTGTTGGTATTGCAAATTTATTCGCTACCTTTTTCCAAACAACGTACTCGTCTCATATTTACAGCGCATCCATTCCGTATCCGTTCCAGCTACCTCACGCTAACAGCAATTTTCTGTCTATTTTCGAGGCAAGCGTTGCTTTGCAAGGTTTGTCTTCTATGGACATATCGTTTTCTGTGGGTCCATATAAGGTACCAAGTTTCATTTTAAAACACTGTACCTAGTCCCTTTGCAAACCCTTGACCTTTCTCTTCAACCTCTCTTTGGAACAGTTTTGTCTCCCTGTAATTTTGAATGAGTCCTACATCATTCCGCTTCACAAAAAAGGTTAAAGATCAAACATTGAAAACTATCGTGGTATCGCAAAGCTTTCCGCCATCGCGAAGCTTCTTGAGTTCCTGGTCACCCGGCAACTGCAACATCTTTGTTGCAGCTTGATATCTCCGTCGCAACACGGTTTTTTCAGACATCGTTCAACATCGACTAACCTTCTTGAGTTTTCTAACCTAATCCACCGTGGTTTTCAAATTGGTTTGCAGACGGATGTAGTTTTTACGGACTTCAGCAAGGCATTCGATTCTGTGAACCATGCTCTGCTTATTCACAAGCTCTCTTTATTAGGGTTCCCAACGAATCTTCTAGATTGGATTTTGTCCTTTCTCTCTAACCGTACTCAACGTGTTTTGTTTTCTAACGTGTTGTCAAATACTGTTAACGTTACTTCAGGTGTGCCACAGGGAAGTCATCTGGGCCCGCTTCTGTTTTTTTTATTTGTGAATGACCTTCCTCAAGTTATAACATACTCTACTACACTAATGTATGCTGATGATGTCAAAATCTGTCTTTCTTACTCTGATTGGTATTTGCACACACGCCTTCAACTTGATCTAAGTGAACTACTGTTGTGGTGTTCAACTAATTTTCTTTTTCTGAACCTTTCCAAATGCAAACTTATGACATTTTACCGTCGCGCTCCTCATTTTGTCCCATATGTTCTAGGAAATCATGTCCTTGAGCGAATTTCGAGTTTAAATGACCTCGGAGTCCTTTTTGATCATAAGATGTGTTTTAACACCCATATAGCTGCAACTGTAAATAAAGCTAAGGGTGTTTTAGCGTTCATCAAGCTTTGGTCCAAGGAGTTTGACGACCCGTACGTTACGAAACAACTATACATCTCGTTAGTACGTCCTATATTGGAGTATTGTTCTTGTGTGTGGAGCCTGCAGCATAAAGAGCAGCAGGTTGTTATTGAATCCGTGCAAAAGCAATTTTTAATTTTTGCCCCCTAACTTTAACTGGGACTCGGGTAGAATCTTGCCACCCTACCGGTCTAGGCTAAATCTTATTGACCTGCCGTCGTTGCACCATCGCAGAATATGCAATGGCGTTATGTTCGTGCACAAGCTCCTTCTCGGGATTGTTGACTCCCAAACTCTGTTGGGTCAGATTGACTTGGCCGTCCCATCTAGACCTACCCGTACTTTTATGCCAATCCGTTTACCCATATGTAGGTCAAATTATAACTCCCTCTGTCATTCCTTATCCTTTGAACTGTCCCTTAGACTAATTGCATGCAATATTTATAATCACCTAAATTTAACTAACTTTTTACTTCTCTTTTTTCCTCCTTTTGTAATTAAGTAGCATTATTAACAGACAATTGTTAATTTAATAAATAAATAAATATTAAGGCTAGATTAACCAAATTTGGTATCCACACTCCTATTAGTTCTCACTATAAAACGTATATTTCAAAATTTCGCCAGACCCCCTTCCGACCACACAAAAAACGAAGATCTGTGGCATCCACAATATTGAAGATTCGAGAAAACTAAAAACGCACAGTCATAAAGAATGAATATATCTATCAGGTTGCTTAATCTGGATCAGATCGGATCATTTTTATAGCCAAAAGGAACAAATCAATTTGCAGTGGCTACGCAGCGCCCGACGACACGCTCAGACTGATTTTCTGTCTCTCTCGCACGCACTCTTTGTCGTGTCGTTTAATATTCGCGGCGTCTGCCGGAGGAGAGCCATAATGACTATGTATTGGGTATAAATGGAGAGTTGCGGTCGCCGCAGCAACTCACAACGTTAGCACTCGTTTCAAGTTAGAAACAGTTCAAAGTTTCTGATAGAAAATGAGCAGCACTGATTTTGACATGCCTTCTTATAAGTTCTCTATTAAAACTATTCAAAGTTTCATCAATGTTCCTTTATCTTCATGCTGCTTCATGTTGCGTCATGCACTTGAAATTGTCACCGTCCGCTGTAGCTCAACGAGAGCTGGCGTTCACTGCAGTTTATGTCAGTAAATGGTGCATTAAAGTGGGAACAGGATAGTGTGCACCAAGCAGTTTACCTCTTATAAGCCGCATTAAAAGGACAATACTAACATGAGACTTTTGTTAAAATTTTTTTATTTTCGCCTTTTTATTGAAATGATAAGATTTCGTATTTTGTAGGCAACACATAAAAAATCAAACCGACTTACTTATATTAAGGATGTTTATAATGTTTGTAATTGTTTATAATTTTCATGATGCCGTTATTTATGTTTACTATTTTTGTATTCATCCCTTTCGTAATAATCTCTAAGTTGTATGTATTTCTAACTAATTTTATTATATTTTTCCAACTAAGTTTTGTTAAAAGGCCTCGACAAAAACCAAAAACCCAAAATAGTAATTTAATTTCTATAAATATTTATTCGATGGGTAGATGGAATTAAAGACATTTCCACAAATTAACTGAACTAGTACCTATATCGGAACCGACGCATTATACTGTCGACTTACCTAAAATGATAAATGCAAATTTATTTTAAATATCCGTTATCAAATAATGTACGACGTAATATTTGAATTCCGCATCCGTAAAAATACATGCGCTGATGCTCATCTAGCAACATCCCTTTTATATCAGCTATACATGTGCATCCAACACGAATGAATTGATGCGTCATCAAATTGATCCTATATATCTGTTTATCTACACTGCATGAATAACCAAATAGCTGAGATCCTTCACTTTCATTATCTTGTTGTAATGACACTGCATTAACCTGCGCATTGTGCAGACCCAAAAATGCTGTATTCTGCTGAACTGTGAAGTTATCCAAATTTAGAATGGTATACTGTATATTTTCGTCATCGCCGCCAGACAAAACGTGCAAAAGCTGTCCATAAATTTTTATATCTAAAGTATTAATGCCACCGTCGTGCAGCTGGAGCTGAAAACGTTGTTTGGAAAGCTTCTGGTCAAAACCGTAGATTTCCCCGTTGGTTGTTGTGATAAGCAATATACTTTTGCTATTGATCCAATGCATTTTAAGTGGACATCTTTTTATGTCCAGAAAATTAATTAAGTGTAGTTCTAAAGGTCTTTCAAAAAGCCAACGATAAACACGAATCTCTCCTTCAGCACTGGCTATATATAACGTAAAAATACCCGAAAGGGTATGCTGTGCGATGGAAATTGCCATCAATCTTGCTTCAAGAGCGCAGATTTTTGATTCTGACGTACTTAGCACTTTGTGGGTACACAGCTCACTAACATTGCACGCACTAGCATCTTTTTCGTCAATTTGATTAATGCAAAGTTGAGATCGTCCGCCGACTGAGAAAATAAGCCACGTAAATAAACCATTTTCGAACTTATAGAGACAAGTTTCTAAACAACGTACACTTGAAATGTGGGAGTGAAGTTCGGCACAATGAATTAAATTGTCGTTGACTAGCTTGGCAATCTTTATAATATTATCATCACCTGCTGACAGAAGCAAGGGCGTAAGAGCATTGTGGCCCGTAAGAAGTTTTATTGTGTTACAATTACGAGCGTGCCAGTTAATACGCTGTACATTTATCTCGTTGACTTCATTGCAAAGTGAGCTACGGTAAAAAAACACCTTTTTGTGCTTTATAAAAAATATACAAAGTATATCATTATGTAGATGGTAGTCCCAGTAACGATGCCCACCCCCACAAGCTATCTGCACGAGCACATCGTGTTTACGCGACCAGGCCACAATGTGATTATCATTGAAACCAAGAAGTAAATCTTCACCTGGGGACGCTTCAACCCAACCTAATGGGACTCTCTCCCGTTGCAGAACTGTTAAACTATTATCAGCAAATCTCAAACGTAGATATTTTAAATAAGGCTCATGGCCTCCGCTCATTACGTGGAGTTCGTGACTATTTATATTCAATAACTTTAAAAAAGTTGAACCCATGTTTCCATGCAAACATTTGACAGTATTTTTCAACTCAAAATTCTTCCCAGCACAGCGGTAGTATACCATGACGTGACCCTTACGATTACTTAAGAAGAGATATTTTTCTACTACAAGCAAGGCGGCAGTTGTCCAGGACCTACCAAAATTATTCAGCAAAATATGTGAATCCAAGTCCAACTTACGTCCCTTTAGAAGCTGGCAATTTCCTAATTCATCGGATACAAGATAATGTTCTTTGGTTAAAAAATGAAATGCTCGAATTGTCCCTTTCAGTCTTACGCCATCAAAAATTATCTCGAAATTTTTTTTTTTTACATTGTAACTGTGCAATGTTATTCTCTTATAACCACAAGTAGCAATGACTCCATCAAACGCTGCTAGCACTGTACGTTTGTAGTAGGGAAAATTCGACACTAGATACCACTTTTCAACATGCGGCGATATTGTTTCTAGGTTCATATAAAATATACGATTTTTGCTACTTAGGCCAACAATAGTCTTATCATTAACAAATTTTAGCTTTCCGATAAACTCACTTGTGGCATCTATGTCATCCACCATGGTTAATCGGTTTTTCTGTCGGTTAAAAATGTTTTTAATGTTATAAGCAACTACATTTCCTATTGAACTGGTACTATAGAGTGTAGAAGTAGCTTTGTCAAAACCTAACCGCCATATAGGTGCCCCAAATTGTTGCCGACGTTTTAATAACAAATCACCGGAACAGTTCCAAATACACACATACGAATCCTCACCAGCACTTATTACACATACGCGGCCACCTGCATCATAAATGGTTATATCGTATTACCGTCCTTTTTTGTTAGGAAAGCTTACCATTTTCGACTATGATAGAGCTCATAACTCGTGAAGTATGTCCAAAGCAGCTAAACATAGGTTTTATATAGAAGGTTTTCCATGAACCGACCTTTTGAATTTTCCAGAACTTCACAGAACGATCATCAGATGTAGTAACTAAAATCTTCAACGCCAGGTTAAAATTGATGGAGTAGATAACCCCATTATGTGCTTGAATACGTAACAGCAATGGATATATTTTTGTACAATTAATTGTATCGGAATCTACAGGACATTGTGTATGCCAAATCAACAATTCACCAAACGCATTTCCACTTATTATTGCCAAATCATTATAGTTATTGCCATACAGACGCGTATGGTAAAGCATGGAGCAATCGGTACAGCTTGCTAATTCCAACACAGAACAGACCATTGATGAGATGCTACACTGAAGGTATAAAAAGGCACTGTGAGACATGTGCACCACTAGCTTCCAATCTTTTTTTTCATCATTGTCAAAAATAACCGCAGCATTAATCCAGTCTCTTGTTTCGCCTTCGTAAATCAATTGAAACGGCTCACTTTTCTCATTAACGCTATAAATGAATAACGAGAATGCATTTTCGCCATATAGCAATAACAGATGTTGTGCGTCATGACAAGAACTCAATGCAAATCCATGTACTTTAGATTGACGAGCGCCTAGTGGCAATTGAACGGATTCTTTCGGGGTATGCAAAACCGCTTGATTTCCATGGCCTCCACATAGCAAAACAATAACAAATTATAAAATAAAATGTACTATAAGTATATGCAGCTGTGGAAATACTTACCGACCAATATAAATTTGGATGACACGTGCAAACCCAATACGTCCGAAATTAACGTCATGACAAATCAAAGTTAGAGATGTACAATATTAGATACACTCATAACACCAGCAAGATCTTTTTTTCTATAGTGATCGACCAGAATCTAAGGGTGGATTCCTGTTATGGCCTTTTCCCACAGGAAGCATCAAAGGGGAACGTTGGGATTTTTGAAAGATGTGACACACCGAAACCCACTGAGCACCATCCATCAAAAACAGCAGTTGACCATAATAACAACAAAATTTTGGTCTGTATTGTGCAATTTTAACAAGTTGATTGGAAGTTGATTAGGACTTGGCTGGTGCTCCCTCGGCGTTTTCTGCTACTTCTTCTGAAATTCCAGCCTTCCCTGAGAAATCTTTACTTACACCAGCTTTCATTTTGTCGTCTTGTTCTTGGATTTTTATTTCTTGTCTTGCACGATTTATTATTGCTGGCGTGAATTATTTTTTCTTGATGTTAATTTTTTTCAGGATTTCAAATAAAAACTAACTGCTAAACATCACATAGAAACGTTCGGATTCGAAACAGCCTAGATAGTTGGTGGACTAATATGCTATTTATTGGCTCTGCACACTGAGTACATCCCGGGAAACGGTGGGACTTTTGACAGATGTGAAACTCCGAGGCAAACTGGAACCATCCACCATCAGTCAAAAACAGGTGAGGCACAATATTAAGTTCATAGTATTTTCGCGAAAAGCTTGTTATTTTTTTGTGAAAACTTAGCAATAGCAAGACTTTGCTATTGTTCAAATGAAGAAGCAGCCAGCAAACTGGCAGAAAATGTTCTGCCTGCATGATCCGTCCAAGTCAACCTCTATTATGTACGAAAAGAATTCAGCAACATCTGCAGAGAAAAACTTTTATCTGCCAACTAAAAAATATTTACTTGTATTTTTTTGGTTCTATCTTCTGACCATCCCAGATCAAGCCTTTAATGGCTCGGCCATTTCCATATACACATGGGAGCAATTTTTTTCGGCCAAATATCTATCAGCATGCTCTCCAGTTCGGCAGTTCCAGTTCCGTAAATCATTTTTTGTTGTGAATGCCAATTATTCAGAATTGCATTTGAAGCCCATCGGCTAACAATCGCATAGCAACGTGCGAAAAAAAATGGCAGGAGGGTTGATAATCAAATCGATAGCTCTATCGATACGGTCGATGGTTGAAAAATTAGTTGACCATCGACGGTTTCGGTTCACCATCCATGGTATCACCACTAACCATACAGTATATTGATGAGCCAGTTCATACCAGAAAGCGTCACACGATGGGTTACCAGTTTGAATACCCCAGAGACTTCGGCTATGGCATTCGGGTACTGACGATCATTCGGGTACTGAATATCATTTGTGAGCCTTTTGCGATATCATTTATGAGTCGTTTTTGATATAAAATAATATCAAAAGAAATATTTTTTTCGAGCCCATAGCAGTATCAAAAAAGACTCATTAATGATATCGCAAAGGCTCACAAATGATTCCTTTGCGAGCTATCATAAATGATATCGCAAAAGGCTCGCAAGAAATAGTTTTTTCGAGAGTTTTTTTTGGACCCGTTCCCATTTTGTTCCGTAATAAAAAATATTTTTAATTTGTAATATGAAATGAATTTAATGTATATATGTAATATGTATGAACTATGTACTAAAATTTAAGTTTTTTTGCATCACTTTTTTCCAATCTGACCTTCCGTTCCTGACCATACTGGAAATATTTTTGAGTTGTATGGTCGAAATCCTGATTGTCGATCGCAATCTTCTGTTTAAATGCATCTGTAGAAAATATAAAATATATTAAAAATTGGGGAATTACACAAGCTAAAATAGTAAAACTTACTTCGTAGTGCTAAAGTGGTTCGAAGTCCTCTTACACACTTTTTGGAGTCTGTCCCACGCATGTTCAGTAAACTGGAATGCATTACTTTCGCAAAGTAATTCATTTTGTTGGAGTTCGAGTTCCGAAATATTTTGCCTATGATTCAATTTAACCTCAAAATCTCCAGTAGCTCTTTGCACGTGTCGAGCCTCTCCGATTTGCTTTTCTTTTGTAAGACATTTTATTTCTTTTATTAATAATGTACTTACCGATTGGCAGAAATTTCTTTTAAATGTGTAAGAGATGGTAGAGATTTTTAACTTAGCACTGCACAGTTCGACGAAAATAATTAAAATGACGGCGCAAGGAACGCCCGCTTTATTTGCACTTGTTTCTAATGCCACTGATCTGTCGACACGTCATCTGTCGAGACGTGAACACAAAGCCGAAGGAGAATTGCCGGACCGAAGGCACACGAAAGCTTGCTTTTTTTTTGGCTTTCGACCGGCAGCACAGTCGCAGCGCTCTTTCCTATTGTTAAACTCCCACTCGCGAGCTCGTTTGCGAGCGTTTTGCGACACAAAAGCATATCGCTCGTACACAAGCTCGCTCGCGAGCATTTTGCGGAACTCTCGCAAAAGGCACGTTAGTTGGTTTGCTGGGATGAGAGAGCGCAGAGAGAACATCTTTGCATGTGTTAGTATACCGCATTATGTTTCAACAAAAACATGTGATTGTATGCTTCGAGATGTTTTTGAGTATGTTTTGAGATTTTTTTGAACGCTTTGCGGTTTTTTGTTCTTTTGTGCCTCCAGCATATTTTAATCTATGTCTATGCCTATCCAGGTCACGACAAATAATTTTACGTTGCACTGTATTTTCAACTGTATGTCTACACAGAAGGTCGAAAAAAGGTCGAACGAAAAAATGAGTTGTGCGGCTGAGGTTGGATCTCCGTTGGATATACTGAGTTAATATATACATATACATGTTCGAAATCATCAAGATAGACAAAGACTCTATTTTTAAAGTCCATTAATCGACGTATTGTTTGTGTAGTCCAAATTTGTTTTCGTAGGTCCAAAAGGCATGCCTCTGAATACCAAGGACGATTTGGTACAGTGAAGGCTGTTAGATCTCTGCAAGATTCCTTCAGATTTATTTGCCAAAGGCCGTGCTTCAGATCTAAAGATGAAATACTAAAGAAAAATACCATTTATCTTGGGTTGTGGATAAGCATACTTTATCGTCACTGAGTTGACTTTGCGTGAATCTAGATGCATACGAAATTTGCTATCCTGTTGTACTACTGAAACGGGGCTATTCCAAGAACTAGCTGGCGGTGCTCCTTCTTTGACTCCTTAACTAAGCATATCATCGATTTCCGCATGAATCCTTTTTTCCACCGCCGGTGATACTGAGAAATATCTCTGTTTTATTGGCTTCGCCGATGAAAGTAATTTGATTGACTTCTCTAACATAGACGTTTTCCCCATGCCTTCCGTATTCAAATAAATGCCGTTGTTGTTGTTCGGCATTTAACCATTCTGGGAACTCAATCGCATTTATTGAAAACGCTTTTACTAGTTTTTCCATCAGGCCAAAAGTATTCCAAAAATTCATTCCCAGATATATGTAGATTTTTTTATAATTAGGAATTATATATAAGGAAGGAGACGGCGAAAGCCAAATTGCCATCTGCAGCCAGCCGGTATGGTGTCCATGATCCCCTCAAGTACATTGCCCAGCACTGGCAACAGACAGATACCCCGATATGAGGTAGCATCGGTCCGGTCCTTATCGGGTCCCTTCAGAAATGGGAAGTACCCTGTCTTCAGGCAGCGGGAATACATCGCTGTCATGTGCTGAGGGATGGCACGCCACAATTCCTTGCAAATGGCACCTTTGATGCCGTACATGCCGGGAGAGCGTCTGCTCTTCTACATGGCGACGCATGCATTAACCTCAAAAGCTTCGAGGGCTGGTGGAGCCTCGATCGGGTTGGAAATGTGTGCATTTCTGTATTCCAGCAGTTTCAACTTGCTAATTACGTGCAATATAGGGTATATTCTTGCTTATAATCTAGTAATCCGGAATTTAATAATCCTCCATAAGTCTTACCAAATATTTTTTCAATTATCTTTTCATAGTTTTGAAGTTTTAAATGAGACGGGACTATTGGATATAATTTACCTTGAATTTTTTTTTAATTTAAATATTTAGGAACTATCTTGACTTTCGGACAGTAAGAAGAAAAATTATCTTTATTGATGTTGAGGATTTGAGCGCTAGCTGCTGTTTTTGTTGCCACCTGTTGACAGGTTTCACAATTTGGTCTTATTATATCTTCAGCTCCGCAACCGAAGCAAAATATCATCTTGTCAGATTGCAATCTGCGTGTTTATGGCCAAACCTGCGACAATTCCAGCATTGTATCTCTTCTAAGGCTCTAGTTAATTTTAGCTCGAAAATTTCTTGTTCTAATAGATGGTTATTTGAACGTTCCTGGTCATACTCCAATTCATTAATTTGCTTACGTGTGTTTGATTTCAGGTTAGCGGTGTTATTCTTCTGCTCACTCAAAAGCTTCACGTCTACGAACTTCTCAACTGGCTAACCGAATTGCTTTCTATATGCAATAACTCTTTTCTCTTAAACGGTCTCAGATTTCGTTTCAGAATTAACGATAGTTGACTCTCGCTAAAAAGGTATTGCAAGCGATCTAGTAAATGCATAACTCCGTTATTAAATTCGTCAATGCTTTCGTTGATTTGCTGCTTGCGATCTCTTACCATTACGACTGTGGAGATAATGTTTTTTATCCCCAATCGGCCGACTAATTATTCCAATTAAATAAAACTCGGCGCAGAAATAAAATTGCGATATGCTATTTAATGCGTGACATCCAAATTGCAAGTGTGGCTTGCCTGCCCTTTACATTGCCGCTCCGATCGCTAAGCGCAGCTTCGCTCGGCCGACGTCGGTAGGCAGACGCAAAGCGGAGATAGCGAAGAGCGAGCTGGCAGAGAGCGTTTAGCAGGGCAAGCAAGCGCAAAGCTTTAACAAACAAATGAGTGACATAGACATAAGTAACAAACAAAATAAGCGGCTGAGGGCCAAGAATTAGGTGCTATTTGGCAAGCAGCTAATCGGCTGGGTTCTGCTCCGAACATTCACCCCCCGTTGGAAGGCAAAG